CGCGTTAGTCGAGCTACAGTGGAAAGCGAATTGCAAGTTCTTAAGCACGATTTCGATCATATGTTGTCCGATCATGCTGCAACAAAAGAAGAGAAAGATAGGATTGAAAATCAAATGCACTTGTTGAAAGATCATCTGGAAGAGTTAAGTCAGTCATCTCAAGCGGCTCTATCACAACCATTACCATCAACAGGTGATAAACTCGAAGAGTTAAATGAACTAAAAATTAAAAATGAGGAGTTAGAAAATCGATTACACAAAGCTGGAAGTGAAAGTCGCAAAGAATTAACTAAATTAAAAGCTAAAATTGCTCGCTTGACGCAAGACTTACAAGTTACACGTCATGACCATGCTGATCAACATGCTGATTATAAACGAAATTTGGCATTAAAGGAATCAGAATGTCAGCAATTACAAGAGGAAAATCGTCGATTAATAGAGGAATCTCTTGGTAGATCTGTACAAGAGGGATCTATGCAGCAGGCTAATATTGATGAGCAGTTACCGATGTCTGATCAAAAAGCAATTATTGAAAGCATCATTGAACCCAATGTTGAGGTTAGGAGTCTGACGCAATTACCTACACAAGACGATTTAATTGAGAAAGTTTATCAGGTGCCGATAATGGAGTCAACAACTGATTCTGCTGATCTAACAAAAATATCGCAAGATTTTCAAGAAGACAAAAGCAACATTATCCGTCCTACTTTAGTCGACAATTCTATGCAAACATCGATTGAAAATATTACAAATCATATTGATATTGTAGATACCGGTATGGATCAAAAGTTACAACAACTAAGTAGCCAATTGGAGCGAGAAAAAGGCAGACGGAAAGGTCTTGAAAAAATCCAATCAATCTTGAGACAACATAGTGGTATACTCCAGAGTGCTTTAGGCAAACAGGAGTTAGCATTAGAAGAAATTATAGTTAAATTAAAAAATAGCCAGGAAGAAAACCAATCCGTAAAAGCTGCTTTTCAAGTTACAGTAAATGAATTGCAGCAACAACTTGATCAAAAAGACCTTACAGTTACCGATTTGAATGATTTAATTATATCTGAAAAGAAGCAAAATGCCGATTTAAATCAGCGTTACAATCAAAGTGTAGGTCAAATTGAAGATTACGAGAGAGAATTAGAAAATAAACGTAAACAATTAGAAAGTATGAGGGATAATTTAGATAAATTGGAAAATAATTATATAACTATGCAGCAGCAATATCAGGAAACAACGAGAGATAGTAATCAACTTCAGATTGAAGCTGACGCAACACAGCGAGCGCTAGATGATAAAGTGATGAAATTACAAGCTTTGCAACTTGATATTGATAGCTTAAAACAACAGTTAATACTAAAACAAGAGGAAGTTACTGCATCGCAGCAAGAGCTAGAGCAATTAACTGATCAGCACCAAGTTAATAACAAGCGTATGCAAGAAAGAATTGATCAACTTGAAGTAAATCTGAACGAGGCTGAAAAAGATAAACAAAAATATGGAGATTTGATAAAAAATATACATTAGCCTTACAGCGATGTAAAAGCCAACTAGTACAAGTTATTAAACACCTGCCAAGCGATGTCGCTGATAAAATATCGAAAGGTAGCTTATATCACAACCTATATTTGCTAATATCTTAGATCTTTTCTGTAATTGGATTTCTGATCTTAATTAGAATTAGAGCTAGACACTGAAAATATTGAGGAATACGTCGAATTACTGTGGAGTGCATATAAGAAACAAGATACTGGAAATAGTGATAATCGGTAAGATTTAGATGATAGTAATAACATATTTGCCATAGTCTAATAAATAAGTTCTATAAAAATTATGAAGGCTAATATTATTATTAATACTAATTTTCATTTGCGATTCCAGATCTATTAATACCTTACAGAATTGTCTGTCGGAATTAAGGTAAATAAATTTGAATAATCATTACACTGCACTTTACAAATAATATTGCATAAGCTGTTATTTAAGGTAGCAGCAGATGAATATCCATTATAGTATAAGAGTGTTTGCGTCTAATTGTCAGGAAAATTCTGTTAGTGGAGAATAAATTGTAAAGTAATACATATCTGATCGACCCTGATTGTAAAATTTTTAGGCAGGAAATGGCTACCTTGCAAGAAAGAATGGATGAACATAAGAAAACTGTTTACAAAGTTGTATATTCTCAATAATGTATAAAAGCCAGAAAGTAGGAAGATGGCTTATATTGTACACTTTCCAATTTTAGTAAATGATTCTTGTTAGTTTATATATCAACAAATCGTAAATAAAGGTTGAAAACGGGGCTGTTATAAACTTTTCATTGTAATTGACTGATCTAGTTGCTATTGGCTTAGTTAACAATTTGTGCTATAGTATTGCACTAATGTGTAAATAATTTTTAAATCATGTAGATTATGTATTGTTTGGTTTGGATGGTATGTAATGGACAAAATACAAAATACTTTTCATGAGAAGCTTAAAATTTTATGCTGTAATAAACCTTTTAGTTTTCTTATTTTATTAATGAATATTGCAACTAGAAAAGGCAGATACATATACTGTATATATATATATATATATATATGTTATATATATAATTCTCTTGCAGCTGCATGTTGTCTTATTTCATCGTCCATCTGATACCGACAATATGTATATGTTTGCTTTCGGATACATTCTCTTGAATGATTTTAAAATTCCGAAATATTTAAATGATTAAATAATAAACATTATATAATTTAAATATCGAGATGGTATTATATAGAATTATAATCCTATCTGTACGATATTACGATAGTAAGCCATCTATCATGCTGATTACTATCATACTAATACCGCTTATGTTTTAATAATATTTAATCTCTCCGTTGATTTTTGACAGCTTTAAATTAATTTCTATTATACTCATGCTGTATATAATCGTGTAGCATATACAGTTAAGAGACAATTATCACACAAGAAACTAATTAGATTAACGGTAGACCTTTATTAATACTAATTGAATAATGGCAGCTGATAGGTGTTTGACATTGAGTAGTGTCTCGAAATAAGTACTTAATAGATCGTTCAAGAAATAGGTTAACATAATCAACATAGACTTGAAATTTAATCACGACAGGATTTAAAAAGAGGCAAAAATAAGAATGCGAACTTTTGAACCATAAGTTCGTTGGGCAGTTGCTGACAAAACATTCATATAATTAATAACATGACCCCAGTCTAAACCTTTACATTACTCTATGTCTATAACATTGTTAGATTACGATGGAACGCAATAGTAAAGCCTAATTTTGCTTTGTCAAGATAGCAAATGATCACTTTGTAACTTTACATCTACCAAGTGCGATGCTTTCCAATATCATCGACGTATATGCAATATGTGCGTTTGCTATGCCTCGTGGCTAAGGCACAAGTTGGATAAGAATCATATCAGTGTCGTTATCACAATTATATAAATTGAACACCATCAACTCCTAAACATAATTTTTGACGTATAATAACAGTCGAGAAATGTGGACAAACACAAAGGTCATACATAGTAAAGGAATTCTGTACACAAATAATAATATAATTATAATAATCTAGAATAATGTTATATTAATATAACTAATCAGGAAAAAATTTTTGCTTTTTCACACAAAGGTTGAAAAGTAACATATTCAGAGTTGGATGACTTAATAATCTATAGAAAGACTCAAAGAACGTTGTGGCATAAGTTGATCGTTAACGAAATAAATTATCTATGGCTATAATAAATGCTAGATCATATGTATTTTTACGGTCATAAGCAATTAGTGCGGCATAAATAGACAATAACTACGTAATCAAATTTATCTACACGTGATATCACAATGGAAAATTTCATATTCTACTGATATTTAAAATCTACCAGTGTAGATATTAGAAATAGGATCTCTATTAACAATAAGTTATACGTATGATGATATTAATCATATGTATTTATAATAATTCTTGCGATAATTTGTATGTTCTAGCCATAAAAGAATGTTGTAGACATTCAGATAATTCAATATTTATATGTAATATTGAAAACTGCAACAATAACACAACTCTTACAATCTATTCAAGAAAGAACTCAACTCCTTTTGTCATGTTATAAATCAATCGAGTTTATATTAAAAGAAATTACCATCGCAATATATATAGGAAATAAAGACAATAAATCTTAAATGAGTATATGTCTCGTACATTTCCAAGCATACGGAAATGCAGGTTATATTAACCGCCTTTTTCTTAAAACGAAATAATAATCAGTAATGATTTCACTATGTTGCAATCTAAGCCGTGCTATGCAATTCTTACTAATAAATACAGTGGTCAGTACTCGTATATCGAAAAGCGAAACAGTATCGCTTCCACTAGTAATGCTATATCTTTCATGAGGCTACTCTAATTTTAGATAAATTTTCTAAATCTAAATGGATAAAACTATGATACGATCGGTGCTAGTTGTATAACTTTGTGCACAAGTACACATGAAGTAATATTCTCAGATATCAATTCTCTTCATAATTTACTAGCCTAATAACTAATCGAAAAACGCAACCGCTGCTACAGTAGCATTTTCAACAGAAAAATTACGCATTAAATTGTATTTCAAAAAGGTTATCCAGCGGGGTTTGAATAATGTCACCACTCGTCGCTGCATATTCTTATTACTCAATCGTCGATATTTGTAATCGATTATAATAAAATCTTTTAACTGCTGCTACATTACTTTCCATAATTAAACCCAACCCTCAGTGAACCATCTGTAGTTAAACCATAACCGAAGTGTCGTATTGGCTTTCATATTCCTAGTAATATATATAATAGTAACGATCTATATTCTTTTCATTCCGCGTTTAAGCATCCTCTGTGTTTCTTCAAAACAACCTTTGAAACATTTCAACCATTCTATATATTCAGTTTCAGTCTGCAATCATAACAAACAGTAATTATCGATATGGCCAGCTTTTTAATTTATACTAATCAGGGTTACTTTATGAAGTTCTGTACAAATTTCTATAATCGTAAACTAATACGGCAATAATATCGAATGCGCTTACTTCGGCCCTTAAAATGTAATCCCGTCCATTTTTTACATTTATCTTGATACATTTATACCCTTTAATTAGAGTCTCTTCAATATCAGTTACTCGTTCAAAAACTAAAAGTGTTTTTGATGATATCTATAAGTATATACACCAAAAAATGAATCGCGTTAATATTAAGGTAATATCACAATTTCTATATGTAGCCGTTAGTCCTACTTGTTGATCTTGTTTCCATTCTAAACGATTCGGAAATAAATGGAAATAGCGTTTTTGCCATTGCGACAGAAAAGGACCACCAAGTTTGTATAAAAACCCATGAACAACTACATCACTGTTTTCTTCTAATGTCATAATTTCTACAGTTTTTATATGAAGAAATAGGTTAGCGTGCTATCTATTTTTATGGCTAGTGTAGGAATTTTTAGCCAATTATATTGAAAGCACCTTGCTCCCATTGTTTATTTGTTCTCTTTGATTCCATTTTATCGGCGTCTGAATTCACTATGTTAAAGACAGTTTCTGAGATAAAAGAAAATAATTTCATTAATCATTGGAAGTTATCAGATTTCCAAAAATATGACACTGTTATAGAACTAATAAATAATCAATTTTTGTTACCAGCTATTTCAGCCTGCCATCGATCAGACACGACCAGAGGAAAGTTCTTATAAAGTTCTTGGTCGGCTTCAGTTAGCTATTCAATATAAGAAATAAATACTAAATAACAAGTATTACTATAAATAATACAAGTAGGAAAACAGGCTCAAAAAATGTTTTAATCTTTCAGAAAGTGCAGCCATACGTAAACGGACCTTAATGCCTTTGGTATCTTCATCATCAAAAGATCCAATATCGAAAGCATCAGCGGCATTAACTTCTCCCTTCGGAGGTATTAAAGGCGGTGGATACTATGTTCATATTGCCCGAGTATTATTGATCACATTAGTAAATTTTAAATCACTTCAACAAAAAATTTACAACACATAGATAGTTATACCTTCTGCAATCCTACCAAATCCCAATCGGTTTCACGAAAGAAAGGATGGTTTTTCACCTCAGTAGCACTATTGAAAGCAGCATATCATAGTCAAATTTCAGTATAGTTGCTAGTATAAATTTTCATAACAAAAAAGCATGTTGCATGTGCAATATATTGTATGAGTTTAAGGTCAACGCTCACGACCCTCCGCAACAACCAACACGTTCGCCGACGTCTTTTAGAAGTAACCGGCGGAGAATATCTTTGCACTCTGGTGTCCAGGTATCAGGAAAATCTACATCCTATTAAGAAATGCGTAATCAAATGTGACGGTTTATCTTCATTACCATTTACAGCTAGCAACTAGGCACTCATCTAATCTATCATAAATTAAGCAGCGCCCATCACTTACCCCAGTCAACGTCATCTGATCAATAGCATGCTTATCTTTAGTCTTATTTTGTCTAAAGGGACTATGTCTAAGGGTTGAATAAATTTGTTGTCATAAGAATTTCAAATGCCCAAATACTACAAATAGATAATAGCGATTTTCGTACCCTCTAAGTAATTTATACAACATACAACCAAGTGAAAACCAGTCAGCACTTGAATCATATGCAACTCCTTTCTGTAATACCTCCGGAGCCATATAACCATGCGTACCTCTGTAATTATTTATTAATAATAATTTCACCAATGATCCAACGCACAGTACCATTTTAAGTATTAAACTGTTCATATACGTACACGCTAGCATGGGGCTTTTTCTTACTGAAATCACATGCTAGACCAAGATCAGATATCCTAACGTGACCAGCTTCATCAAGGAGTATGTTAGCTGGCTATATATATATCAAAGTAGTGAAATGTAGTATTTAAAGGCTTGCTAAGGTCAGTAAAATATTACTATGAAAATTACCTTCAAATCTCTGTAAACAATAAATTTGTTGTGCAAATGCTCTAAGCCAAGTATAATTTCACTAGCAAAGAACTTCATCTAAAAGTAATATTATATACGTCAGAAAATTTTACTTAGAAGAGACTCTTATAACGTGAAATTTGTCCTTACATCCGCCTCTGAAAAGACACCATGCTGAGTCAGATGATAGTGCAAATCTCCACCTAAAAAGAACATGAGCAATTCGTAGTTATAGCAATTATACACATTACGGTGAGCGATATTCTAATACAAGGGTAACATACAATTCATAGACTAGAGTAAAAGCAGAACAGACACTTATCAAATTACCGTTCATCAGATCGAGGATAAAACATAACTTGTCCGGTGTTTGAAAAGCATAGCTCATACAGACAATAAATGGACAATTTACCTATGTATTTGAGACATATTAATAATCGTCAGTTATACCGTTAATGACTCCAATTAAAAAAATACCAGCATCAATAACGGTAAACGATTACCATAGAGAGCATAACACGTTCATTTAAGGCTAAAGCTTCGCCTTGCTTCAATTTGATTCGTTTCTTATCCAAACATTTCATTGCATACCTTTATTTGGTCAAAGATAGCATAATCATTGCATAATTCATTTATGTGTTGGTTTAACAATTAAAAGTAGCATCTTAACGCACATTTTGCCTGTGTCAGCTTTACGACAACCATATACTTCGCCAAATCCACCACGACCAATAATTCGATGAACGCTAAAATCGTTCATTGTCAACTGCAATTAAAGTCATCAGTTATTAACTGAAAAAATTCAAAACGATTTGCAATCACAAGTTATACCTGAATGTTTAATTCAAGATTTTTCCATTGACAAAATCTAACATATCTGTCACTATAATTATCGGTAGTAGTGTTAAAAAGTAGAAATTCACGATTTAGAAAACACGTTGATGATAAGTATGATAATTAATTTAGTAATCCCAATAAGTAAACAGATCAATTACCATTTTACAAACTGATTAAACACGTGACCACGTAAGCTGTCTCGTATTTCCTCTATATACGGCTGTAATATACAAGCGCATTGAATATTAATATTTAAGACTATATATATCGTTATAAATTCTATTTTAAATAAATCTTATTATTGACAACAAAATAATTAAATATCAGATCTTTTATTCTAGACACTGGCCAGACGACCGTATAATTATAACTATAATACTTACCTCAAATAAATTGACCGGAACGTTATTAGTTGACAAATTGCTTCTCACATGTTCTGTTGCTGCTTTACTGAAGGTCTGAGGTAAAGAAAAATAAAAGATATCGTTAAGTTAAATTTGCTGGCATTAACTAAGTGACTACGATCAAGTCTAGCGTATAACATCTTACATGAGAGCAAGTCAGTAATTCTTTCATGATATGATTATCGAAAATTTCACGTCCTTTCTTTATTCGGTCCACTTTATCATCTAATTTTTGATACTCTAAAATCTAATAACAACATATACATAAATAAAAGAATTTCGTAGAGCCACTAACTGCAAAATAGGATCTTTAACAAAGAATTACATATACGGTATAAAAAATAACGATCATACTGTATATATAAATTAAACAACAAATTTCATCATCATTGAAAGTAACTTATGCCAGAAACTTCTCAAATTCAATGATATAGTGCTTGTCATAATATAAAACTAACATAATTTTCGTATTCCGTGTGATCAGCGAATAATGGGATTTCCATGCAATTTATGCAAAAATTGGGCATTTACGCTTTGATAACGATAAACTCTGGTATCAAATCACATTCTCGAATAATTACACAAAGTTTAGCATCGAAGCTTTCAGATTGCACAGAGCATTATCATTGAATACTGGCAGAGATTCATATTAATAAGTTAGATAAAGCAACTACTGGCTTGTTATTCAACAATGTTACATGACAGTATCATAGCCCAAGACTTTGTGATATATCATGTGTTGTAGCATCATTATGTAAAGCTGCTTTGCTTCCATAATCTAATAATGTATAAGAATTACAAAAGGTATTTCCAACATGTTTTTATTAACATGGTTACCTCCTCATAGAAGTGCAATTGTGGCACGGGTTCATTGATGTGATTTTCACAGAAATCTTTAAATAGCAAGTAGCCTATAAAATAATGGAAAAGATAAATAATTTAGATATCAATTAAGCATGCCATATTAAGAATCTGCAATAGCATATATGTTATTATTAATAACTTATTATAAAACACCTGAATAACTCTCGAAAAATTGAGCCTGCTAGAGGCATATTTTTACACAGCGTATACTCGTATATAGTGATATGATTTTAGAATGATAATTTTTTTGCAAAAGGAAATTTTGACAATACTACGTATATAATTTATTGCAAGATTCCTTTAACTTGATAGAGGTTGACGGGTGTGTAAAGCAGATGTCGTAAATTAAGCATCACTAATAGCGTAGCGCAAAGATTGTGCACGATGTCTATTTTACACATTTTTGTACAATACAGCTACATACAGTAGAGACGACTGTTAATACTGTAGTATAGTGCATACTAACCGAGTTTCTGATCGAATATCTTATCAAAGGTATTTTCACCATTTCCTGTTAAATGTTTATGCATCAGATTGTGGACACTAAAAGATTCACAGAAAATGTCAAGAAAAATTAGAAACCAAGAGAAGACTGACTTGTATATATAATGTACATCCATATTTATATATATATATAAAAAGACAGTTAAATCATTATTAAATGCAACGTAAACTTAATGATGTAAAGTTTGCACCTTAAATCTTTTCTAAATGTAATTAAAGACATATTTTAAAATAAGTACCTATTAGTTTAAAATCATATAGAATGAAGACACTTTTACAAAAAGTACACATTAATTTAAAATCCCATAAAATGACTTGCTGAAGATAAAAATATCCAGTACGCATACATACGTGTACAGTAGATGTAACTGTACGAATAATGGTCTATTAACTACTCATCAAGGCATTTCAGTATGCATGTACATTGTACAATCATAGCAACTTAGAGTGATGTTACATGAATAGTGTATATTTGCCATAAACAGGAGTAGGGATTCTAGATACCTCAAAGCTAAAATAGCTATCATTTATAATTTGAAGCGAATACTTGGGTTATTTCTACAATACATGTGCGTATAAATTTGCAGCGAAAATAAAATCAGAGTAGGAATAGATGTTAGAGTTTTCAATTCACGAGCACGCTATCTTTTAGAATCGATATTTCGATTCTATATTCACTCTTAGAACGAGATGACTTCACTACCTTTAGTAGTAATACCCTAATTTATAACAGACCCTAGCCGTTTCATTTATTAACTACTTAACTGCAGTCCGTGATATGAGAGTACAATTCAGTACATTCAGTTTTATTGCATGGTGCATGTGATGAATTTCATGAACAAGCTCTGTATTGAGCAGAGACATTTTTTATTGTCAGCGAAACAAATTATCAAGTTCCTCATATTTGTACAATATCTTTGGTGGTACTAAGTCTTAACATTAGTTTTATTCATATACAGTACAGAATGCAAGAGGTGAATATAATTATGCCATGAAGCTTAGTTCATATAGCACAACTATAACGGGATAATGCTACTATTCAATATACTGTAGATCCATTTACTGAGAGCAGTGCTTAATTACCAGCCAGCAATCTGTCATAACGTGCTGTGAGAACCTAACGTTGTACCGTTGAATACACATATTTCAATATTTTCTCTTCAAATACTGGTGAAATGATAAAATATATTTGTACTGTATAGCTTGAGGGAAAATATCCTTTCTGACTACTGTACAGTATTATAGTCTTCTGTCAACGTATCTCGCATTATCGAAGTGATGGACTTCTAGAAGAAAACCTTAATTTCCAGTTTAAAGAGCCTACAGTATAGTATAGTACAGTACTGTCCAGCATAGTACAAGATACTGTACAGCACAACTGTACACTGTGCGACGTGATCCCTCGATATTACAATGTTTGCATTTGTACAAAATGGATCGCAAACGCATGCTTCTTAATTAATATGTACGGATAGTGCTTGACTTGGAGATTCTATATCCGCGATTAGTGGGTAGCTTTCTACAATAAGAGACCTATGTGTATAGGAAGCTTCATAGCGATTGGTCTTTTTGGAGCGTTTTACTTCTAGTTTTTACTATTGAAACATATCGAAGAAAGCAGATCATTGTACTGTACGTACGGTACAAGTCTGTCATCTAGTCTGTGGTGTACAGTACAGTACTGTATCTTCGCATTTGATTATACAGTACACTGTATTACTGAAAGATTGATCTGAAGTTGCAGATTCTATTTGAGGTGTTCTTCAATTACTAATCTGAATTTACATTGAACTCCATTTTTTTTAGGATCTATTACGATTGGGAGTTTATATCCATATAGAGAAGATGACATACTGTCATAACTGTAAAGTCAAGGACTACTACCAGGTGCATTTAAGTTACTGAACAATGAATGTCTAGTAGTCGATGCATGGTATAGTACAGTCGCAGTGCATAGAGATTTCTTTTACCTACAGTATGTATGACATTGAGTACTAGACGGTAACCGTCTTCACCCACCAACTTCATTTCTGCTTCAGCAACCATACTGTCCATACTGTACTGTACACTGTACAGTATGTTATACACAGTAGAAGTCAAAATAAAAACCTTCACAATCAAGGTACTGTACTGTACGGCAGTGACAGCACTTCAAGCTTTTGAGCTTTCACTGCAAACAAAATCAGCCGTGTATCAGATGGTAAACATTGCGTTACCAACGTCGAGTCTTAGTGCGCCAACACCATAAAAAAGAATTATGATTGTTAGGCCCTCTGTTATTAACCGGTTAGGACTAAGACTCAGTTGTCTTGACAAACATCCGTAGCATACATGCCATAGTAAATTTATTAGCTAAGGCAGAATAGGATCTTACAGTGTTGACGTTCTATATAGCAGCAACATAGTTGCTAAGATTGTCTTCTGTGTCAGTCCTAATTTAACCTGTCATGTACGAGACTACCAGCTTCAATCAGTCCTACAACAAAATTCTGGATCACTTTATCCAGTACTATTAGTAGTCTATGCTTTTCAAATACTCGACAAAAAAAGCAAGTACCATATCGTACAGTACTTCTATCGATTGTCAAAAACTTTTTGCGGACTATCTAACTGCACTGACCTATCTCTACTGAATGTGAGTGCAAGTGAAATCAGCGCTATATCCAGAATAATTTAAAATGAAGCAGTGATGTACACTTGTAAGATAATTACAGTATATATAAAACATATACAGTATACCAGTCTTACATATATGTGCTACATCGACACATTCATTATACAGTACTTTACATGAGTACAGTGCACAGAAATTGAGAAACGACTTACGCCAATGTCATTAGTACTGTACTCTATGTACAATATTGCATACAGTACAGTACTAGAAGATTCAAAGTCTGCAATTGCAGCATATTTAGTACAATTATACATGTCTATAGACGGTTTTGATCTTAACTTAATAGTTATTAATTGTGTAGGTTAATGTTTAACAACGTAAATATCGTGCAATTTAAGAATAGAAAAGTATCCTTTTAGGATACCTAATACTGATGATTGCATATTTGCATATTCACTAAACTAGTCCTTCTGCATGGACTACAGTCATTGGTTACTGTACTGTATACTACTAGTGCATGAAGAACACTGCAGCACGGTATACTTGTACGGTCCCTGCTAAGTACTTAAGCGTATTTTTAGGACTTGGTCGAATAAGATGTAATTTTTAGTTTTAATGTTTATCCTCATCCAAAAGAAATGAAGAACAAAAATAGCGACCACTGAGTGAGAGGGCTGTTAGTACACTAAAATAAGTTTGTACGATAGATGACAGTACTACTGAGTATTCCCTGTAAAATTAGCCGTCATAGTAATATGTATTCACTGCCTTAATAAACTTGAGACAAGTATCGTAAACAACAGGACGTTGGCAATCTACGTGTAGAGCAGTATAAGGAATTTTATTGATTGGCGTAGACGCGTAAGCTACAGATAATTTTACTTGATCTTAGTTATCTTCTAGCAAGACTACAATAACTTAGAGATAGTGATACACGTAGAACAGACAAGCTGAATCACTGTTATAAATTATACTATACAATAATTGTGTTCACAAAAATGCATAGAAAGGAACAATCAGTCTTACGGTAACTTAAGGTATTATATTCTAGCGATTAACTGATTATACGCTACGTGTAGTGTATAAGAATTATATGCAGTATACCGGGAAAGATGATATTACTGTATCTACAGTACTGTACAGTACACTGAAGAGGCCGATTTGAAGGTTCAACGATGAAATTAGTCAATTATAGTTAACATCGCAAAGCGACGATCAGCATTGAAAGATTAGTTAATACAGTCATTAGTAAGGTGCCATCGATACTGTGTAATTGCATCGTTACTGAAATACACGTCGGTTGAATATATCTATTACAGCGTACACTGTACATTCTCTACCAACCTTGGATGAGGAAGAAGGATCTTCTTGCTCACTCTTGCTGAAGGCGTCGATTTACTTTTTTCCATGGCCATTAAGTACGACACATCGGCCAGTACAGCCTCTAGGTCTGCCATTTTACTTTTGGGGGGGAATAATATGCGTAATACAAATTAATAAACACCCAAGAGAATGTTCTATGTTGTAAGTTATTCGCAACCACTGAGCACCAGAGGGAGATCAATAAAATTGAACAAGGGCTTTTTAGTAAAATTCGGTTTTATACTGTATAGATTGGATGATTTTGTGTTTGAAGCGCCTGAAGATCATTTCTTAACACAGGGTTTACAGTTGCCACTGGGGAAACCTTATCAGGCAGTGTACTGTACGTTTACTGTCCAGTACGTACAGTACAGTACAGTACAGTACTGTACATATTACGGCCACACTGTGCTGAGCATACTGTAAGTCCTTTAACAACTGCATTGTGGACAAAATAATAGTTGCTACGAGAGACTGTAACAAAAATCTACAGTACAATGTTGTACTGTGCACTGTGAGTACTGTACTGTACACTGTACTGTATTTTACAGTGTACAGTATATAGTACAGTACTTCACCTTGAGCTGGGTATTTTGTCCACTACTGGTACACTACACTGTACTGTTCCTTACTACACTCCACATAGTGGCGTAACATCACCAAGTGACTGCACACTAGAAAAGCAGCTACCATGCCGACAAAACGAAAATAGGAATTTCATCACATTGTAGTTCTGTGCCATAATGCACTCTAAATAGGAACAGCTCTTTCTTTATTCCATAGATCTTCACCTCTTTGATAAAAATAATTATAATTAGGAAAAATTAATGAACTTCATTTAATTTTCCCTAATAAATTATTATTATATAATCATATCGGCACTTTGATGAGAGTATAGTGGATTGTACTCAGTATTATAGAGCGATCAAAGAAATAAATAAATTTATGCAATAAGAATTGTTACTTTCTGTAGAGGAGAATTACTCCCTTGTACGTATAGATCAATCCTAGAAGTAAAAGACTTATAATTAATGCACGCTATTGGACACAGATAGCAGTTCCCAGTAGTAGCGCTTCCAGGCAAAACGTCATTGATATACCACACTGCAGTTACGTAAATACTTGTTTATAATTCATTACATCTTTTAGCAGTGGTATAGATAGTATATGCTTACTGTAGTAGTTTTACCACTTTGATTCTTTCGATCATGGCAACCCGTTAAAACTTCCACTGAACAATACCCTCCCCCTGTTAAAGTAATTTGATTTTGACCTTTTATAGAGAATCACGTTTAATGATAACAGTATCGCAATCTTTCCCTGATTCTATCTAGCCTTCTATCTTCTACTTTGGCTTTATGCTTACAACTACTAAATGCGCGTAGATACTGTACCATATGCATGGTAGTTATAACTAAATTATTATTCCCAACCCATACCTTGCGGTTCGCTTGCTCGACGAAAATCAATTAGAATAAATTGATTAATTGTACTACAGTAGCTACGCATTTATCTCTATCTAGTATAAAGTATAGTCTACTATGTTGGTAGTGAATTGAGTAAAATGTTACAGGTATTCGCACTTAAACCTACATGAAGCAAAGAATCGTTAATTTTAATTCTAACCTTAATTGTAGCCTTTCAGGTACTGCCTAATTCCCTATTGCACAACTTATAGCCTATAATATTGGCCAATGCCCTCCAAATAGTGTTGTCGTGACGAGAATCAAATTAGTAATAGAATGGTGGATTAATTCATAACGCGTAGTCGATATCTATGAGCAAAGTTAGAAATTTACGAGTAGCCATAATAAAGTATTATTAAATTAAGGAATTTATTTAATTATGATCACCATTAATTTTCGTAAATGCATTAACTGCATATATGGAAATAAGATACTCTCCTATTATAGACCGAATAGTAATGTGATAAAAGATGTGTGACAAGTCATGCCAGCAGCATTTATAAAATTTAATTGAAAGTCGGAAAATACCTTTTGCACGGTGCTTGCTATTCAAATTACTCAGAAATTGTAGGGCATTAATAATGATACACTTCTGAATTTACAATCAAATACTGTATTAATGAAATACCAGAAAATTTTGGTTTTATATGGTAATTGATGCCCCCGGTCTCATTAGTCGAACATACCAGATAGTAGGTGATAATAAATTATAGTTGAATTGAGACAGAATTTGATTAATATAATTTCTCACGATTCTTGCTAATGAGCATAGAAGTAATTTAGCTGTTTTAGATTTGAAGTGAAATGTTTGTAAGAGCCCACATTGAAAATTTGAATTTCATCGGATTTCGCTGATATCTATTATATGCATATGCACTACTGAAAATTAAAGCGAAATTGCTAATTTGAAAATTTATTTCTTAGTCTAATTATCATCCCCAATTACGATATAAAATCGGCTAGTTTTTTTAGTATGGTATACGTCCATGTCGTAAGAAACGGTTCTGCAATCAAATTTCTTTATTGGAGATAGTGTATACTGTAGAGCGCGAAGCATTGAAAATTATAATATATCTGAAATCGCTTATATTTTTAGGGTGTAAAATAACAGATAAGAAAGTTCATTTGTAATACAGCTCTATGAAATCGCTTTAAACTAATGGATATACATCTAGAAATACCCTCAAGGGTTGCTGAACACCAATGTCGAGTCAGGGACTCTTTCAATTAAATACCACTGACAATGTGACGCAGGCACTAACACACTGATGCGATGTGAGTGATAATTTACTGTGATAACAGATTTAAAAAATATATGAAAATACCCTAATTCATAGATAATTAATTTTTATTCTCTTGCCAATATATTACCTGCAGGTTATAGTGAATGAAAACCATTGATAATAATTTTGTAATTGTTAGTTATCAGGTACATTAATTATATAAGTCTATAATGTCGAAAATGGATATATTTATTAGACTCGATAACTCAGCAAAGTAAGGAGCAGTTGCAAGAGAATTTAGTTTTTCCTCCTTTGTTATTAATCTTGTACATGAGATCATCGTGCGTGTATAAGTGTGGTGATGCAAGATAAACTATAACGTGACTAATAACTAGATTCGACCACCACTTGATCTTACTTTAAGTATTACTGTTGCTAGCGTAATTCGGTTCATACATATCCCAGTTATCAGTACTATTCGTATAATATTATAGCAATATAACACAATAAGTCAATCTGTATCATATAGTAATTAGAGCGTTTACATATAGCCAGACTAATGTACGAAATCTGCTATAGAAGTACCGGTATAATTGCGTATCCTAGGTATTAATATCTGCTAATTAAATGCAGTACAAATGCGATATTAAACGAAACTATTTTGTCGTAATTACTCCCTTCTACAATTAATGTCCGTGTTCGTCAAAATTTAGAGTTCTTACTGATCTATGCATAATAGTATAATTGGTTTGATGG